TGGTTGATCGATATCATCAGGAGCGTATGAAGAAGGAATATATATTTCCTTCTTTATACGCTCTTGATATCATGTAGTTTTACAGTTCGTCGTTGAATGGTGGGCATATAATCGTAATATATCGTGCAGATTATTCGTATATATATATATACGGTGCAGAGGGTAAGCAAGACATGCTTGGAGAGTTTGGCATTTAGAATTCCGCTCATCGACGTCAGCATTTTAGAGATTCGCATGCGGAATTATTAATGTCATGTAATGTATTGTCAATGTTAATGCGAGACGAAGAGCATATCCTCAAGCTTCATCATCTAGTGCAGTGTGGAATCTTTAATGCCGTCTCTCTCTCGTAGTCTTTCCCGCTCTCTTTCGCGCGCGCGCTCTCTCTCTCTCTCTCTCTCTCTCTCGTCTCCGTCACTCCTCTTGTTTCGGTGCGGTGTACGCCTCGTGGGCGGACAGGTCTCTCTTGTCTTTCCTCTCGTCTCATCTCTCTCTCTCTCTCTCTCTCTCTCTCTGCTCTCTTTCTCTCTCTTGCTTCTTCTTTCTCTCTCTCTCTGCTCTTCCTCGTCTTTTCTCTCTCTTCTTTCTTTCTCTTTTCTGTCCTGTCTCTGTCTCTCTGTCCTCTCTCACTCTCTCTGTTGTCTCTTCTCTTCTCCTCTCTCCTCTCCTCTCTCGGGGTCTCTCTCTCCTCTCTCTCTCTTTCTCTCTCTCTCTCCTCTCTCTCCTCCTTCGTCTCTGAAATTTTCTGCTCTCTCTCTCTTATTTCTCTCTCTATTTTATTCTCTTTCTTTCGCTCTTTCTCTCTCCTCTCTTTTGCGTTGCCTGTCCTGCCCGGTGTCTCTTCTCTATCACGTGATGCGTGCTGAACCGCTCGGAAATGAATCGAATAGCGTCATGTTGCGTCACGATGCGCCTATGTCGCGCCTAACAATCAACGAATTACCTTAGATCAAATACCTTAGATCAATTATACCTTAGATTACCTTTTATATATACCTTAGATTATATATATACCTTTTATTTATACCTTAGATCAATTACCTTAGATCAACGAATTACGTTAGATCAACGAATGCATAGATATAGCATACGTGCTGATTCCGGGAAGCGATGGAGGTGCACGAACACACGGTGAGGGCGTGGGAGGGAGAAGGTCGCGGTAGTGTGGACCGTATTGATAGATTTGGTGATGGTAGTGGATGACGAACAGGAGGAGGTAGTCGTGGTGACAAAGGAAGGGCAGGGAGATGACGAGGAGGAGGGGTAGAACAGATATAGGGGGCTGAGAAGGTACAGGAGACGCAGGAAGAGGAAGAATGGGAAGAGAGGAAGAAGGAGAGCGTGCATGAGGCCGGCGTAGCTTCACTATTGGCAGGTGAGTGAATAGGTGGGTGAATAGGTGGGATGGCGAGTTTAAGCGCGTCTGTTCGTACTCGCTCGCCTCGTTAATTGTTCTGCCGCCGGTGTAGCAACAGTCCCACGAGTTTCACAGCACAGCTGTACGCTGGAGCACGTAGCGTTCGCTCGCGCATTAATCATGCCAACCTCATTCTGTTAGTTTAGATGAAGACCTGAAAAATTTATGTCATTCCGGTGGGCATAATAGGACGGAAAATTATGCCGCGTAATGCAATTTGTTCGCCGTGAATTCGGGCGAGTCGAGCAGGTAGTGCTGTTTCAATACTGTTGTGACTGACTATTAGTGTACATTCACAAATGATCGCCCTTATATTAATGCCCTATGTTATCGGTTGTGTTATGGTGTGTTGCATAACTTGAGCATGGTTGATTTGTTTAACTTAATATATATTATGCACGTTGACAAACGTCATGAGCTAATGGTTAGATATCCCTGGAGGTGTTTTTTTTCTCTCGGTGTATTATATATTCATAATTCATTTATTGCACTTCGTCTAAGGCCTTATTAAAGTATATACATTTAATATTACCGGGTCTCTTTAGTATGGAGTGTACAGTGTTGTGTATACAGTGTGCCTATTACTTTGCGATTGAAGTTCGGGTTGAAGTCGAAAAAGAAAGCGAAGTCAGAATCGTGTAATATATAACATAGTCCTTTGTAGAAATCCGTGAGGTGAGCGAAAATCGTGGCGTCTGAATATGTAGTCGGAAGTGCAGAAATCGTTTGATTCCACCGTTGGTGTATTGATTCTTCTGTCAGAGCGACGGGTGTGAAATAAAGAAGAAAAACCCGCACAGACGACGAGTGTAAGGTGAGGAAAACCGCGTGTAGACGCATTCGTATAGTGGCAGGTGGCAGCGTTTTCGATTCTTTGCTTTGATGTCGGAGCGCGTGGCGCGTGCTGGTGGTTCTTTAACGACCGGTGGGACGGCATGCGGGAATACAGCGTCGCAGCAGCCACCCGGGGAAGCCATGGCAGCGAGGAGGCTGCCGACCGTGCGCTGTGCCTCCTCCCACTCGCTGGAGGCTCCTCGTGGGGGAGAATCCAGGCGATGAGGGGGAGTGGGGCGCCGGTTAGTAGAGTGTCAGCGTGTCGGGGTAGCAGTAGCGTCAACGTTAACCCAAGCTGGCTCGTTACCGACAAGTCTATCGCGCTTACGCTCGTTACACTCATCCTCCTCGTCAGCGTTCTCGTCCTTCTCAGCATTGTCAGCTTCATCCGCATCTTTATTCTTATCCGCATCCTCATCGACATCAGCGTCGTCATGAGCATCCTCATCATTACCCTGATCCTTATTCTAATCCTCATCATTAATATTATCCGTCTCCTCATCCGTGTAATCGTTAACATCAATATCTTTACGAGTGTTTACATTCTCAACCGCATCCTCACGCTCAGCAGCATCCTCACCCTCAGCAGCATTCTCACCCTCAGCAGCATCCTCACCCTCAGCAGCATCCTCATTCTCAGCAGCATCCTCATCCTCAGCAGCATCCTCACCCTCAGCAGCATCCTCACCCTCACTCAGCAGCATCCTCATCCTCAGCAGCATCCTCATCCTCAGCAGCAAATCCTCACCCTCCAGCAGGCATCCTCACCCTAGCAGCAATGCCCTCCACCTTCAGCAGCATCCTCATCCTCAGCAGCTATCCCCACCCTCACGCATCCTCATCCTTCACAGGCATCCCACCCCTCAGCAGCATCCTCATCCTCAAGCAGCATCCTCAACCCTAGACAGCATCCTCATCCTCAGGGCAGCATCCCCACCGCTCAGAGCATCCTCATCCTCCAGCAGCATCCTCACCTCAGCAGCATCGCTCATCCTCAGCAAGCATCCTCACCCTCAGCAGCATCCTCGATCCTGCAACGTGTCAGCATCCTGCATCCTCAGCAGCGCACCCTCACTCAAGCAGCATCCTCACCCTCAGCAGAATCCGTCACGGCTTCAGCAGCATCCTCAGCCGTCAGCATGCATCCTCACCCCGCAGCATCCTCATCCTCAAGCCGCATCCTCATCCTCAGCAGCACCTCACCTCAGAGCAATCCATCATCCTCAGCAGCATCCCACCCCCTCAGCAGCATCCTCGGATCCTCAGGCAGCATCCTCATCCTCAGCAGGCATCCTCATCTCAGCAGCATCCTCACCCCTCAGCAGCATCCTCATTCTCAGCATGCATGCCTCATCCGCTCAGCAGCAATCCTCATCCTCGAGGAGGCATCCTCACTTCAGCAGCATCCTCAACCCTCACAGCCATCCTCACCTTTAGGCAGCATCCTCACCCCTCAGCACACCTCACCTTCAGCAGCATCCTCACCCTCAGCAGCATCCTCATCCTCATGCAGCATGCTCATCCTCAGGCAGCAATCTCAATCAGCAGCATCCTCACCTCAAGGAGCATCCTCACCTTCAGCAGCAGTCCTCAACCCTCAGCAGCATGCCCTCACCCTTCAGCAGCATCTCACCCTCAGCAGCTATCACTCATCCTCAGCAGCGATTCCCCCCCCCCCCCCCCCCCCCCCTCATCCTGCAGGCAGCAATCCTCATCCTCAGCAGCATCCTCATCCTCAGGCAGCATCGCTCACTCAGGCAGCATCCTCACCTTAGCACATCCTCACGCCTCAGCAGCGCATCCCTCACCTTCCGCAAGCATCCTCACCCTGCGACTCAGCAAGCATCCCATCCTCAGCAGGGCATCCTCAATCCTCAGGCAGCAATCCTCACGCCTCAGCAGCATCCTCACCTTTCAGACAGAATCCTGCATCCTCACTCAGCAGCATCGCTTCATCCTCAGCAGCCATCCTACCCTCAGCAGCTCCTCATCCTCGAGAGCTCCTCATGCCTCAAGCAGCACGCCTCCCTCAGCAGCATCCTCACCTTTCAGCAGCATCCTCATCCCTCACTCAGGCAGCATCCTCATTCCTCCAGCAGCATCCTCCCCTCAGCCAGCAGCATCCTCGATCGCTCAGGCAGGCATCCTGCATCCTCAGCAGCACCCTCACCATGCAGCAGCATCCTCATCCTTCCTCAGCAGCATCTCACCTCCAGCAGCATCCTCACGCTTCAGCAGCATCCTGCATGCCTCAGCAGCATCCTCATCCTCCGCAGCAATTCCTCATCCTCAGCAGGCATCCTACCCTCAGTCAGCATCCCTCATCCTGCCAGCAGCATCGCTCACCGTTTCACAGCATCCTCCATCCTGCCACTCCAGTCAGCATCCTCATCCTCAGGCAGCATCCTCACCCTCAGCCAGCATCCTCATCCTCAGCAAGCATCCTCAATTCTCAGAAGCACCCTCACGTCAGCAGCATCCTCATCCTCAGTCAGCATCCTCCATCTCTCAGGCAAGCATCCTTCATCCTCAAGCAGCATCCTCATCCTCAGCAGCATCTCATCCTCAGCAGCATCCTCACCCTTCAGCAGCATCCTTCACCCTCAGCAGCATCCCTCAGCCCCTGCACTCAGCAGCATCTTCAGCCCTCAGCAGCATCCTCATCCTCTACCCTAGCAGCACCTCATCCTCAGCAGCATCCTCCATCCTCAGCAGCATGCTGCATCCTCAGCAGCATCCTCATCTGCAGAAGCATCCTCACCTTTTCACCACAGCAGCATCCTCATCCTCAGCAGCAAATCTGCATCCTCAGCAGCAATCCTCACCTTCAGGCAGCATGCCTCACCGCTCAGCAGCATCCATCACCTCAGCAAGCATTCCTCATCCTCAGCAGCATCCTTTCATCCTCAAGCAGCATCCTCGATCCTCAAAGCAGCATCCACTCATCCTCAGTCAGCATCCTCCTTACATATACAGCAGCAATCCTCATCCGTGCAGCAACGCATCCTCATCCTAGCAGCATCGCATCATCCTCCGACAGCATTCTCATCCTCAGCAGGCATCCTCATCCTCAAGCAGCATCCCGTCATCTTCAGCAGCTCCCCACCCTCAGCAAGGCATTCTCATCCTCAGCAGCATCCTCCATCCTCAGCAGCATCCTCATCCAGCAGCATCCTGCAATCCTCAGCACATCCTGCTTCCATCAGCAGCATCCTCATCCTCAGCAGCAAATCCTCATGCCTCAGCAGGATCCGTCACTCCTCCAGCAGCATCCTCATGCCAGCAGCATCCTGTACTCAGCAGCATCCTCCATCCTCACGCCTGCAGCAGCATCCTCACCCTCAGCAGCATCTCTCACCTCAGAGCATCCTACCCTCAAGCAGCATCCTCATCCCAGAGCACCTCATCTCGCAGCAGCATCCTAATCCTCCAGCGCAATCCTCAATCCTCAGCAGCATTCTGGCATTCCTCAGCAGCATTCCTCATCCCTAGCGCAGCATTCCCTCATCTCAACAAGCAGCATCCTGGCATCCCTCAGCAGCTCCTCATCCTCAAGCACATTCTCACCCTCAAGCAGCATCCTCATCCTCAGCAGGCATCCTTACTCAGCAAGTCATCCTCATCCTCACGCCTCAGTCAGCATCCGCACCTCAGCAGCACCTCCTCACCCTCAGCAGGAATCCTTAACCTCAGCAGCATCTCATCCTCAAGCAGCAATCCTCATCCTGGCAGGCAGCATCCTCATCCTCTAGCAGCATCCTCACGCGCTCAGCAGCATCCTCTCCTACCCCTCAGCAGGCATCCTCACCCTCAGCAGAATCGCCTCACCTTCAGCAGGTGCTATCCTCACCCTCAGCAGCATCGCTCATCCTCGAGCAGCATCGCTCATCCTTCACAGCATCCTTATCCTAGCAGCATCCTCACC